CTCAGTATAGGACAGTTGACAACTGCACGCCCTCGGAGAGGGGTGCTCGGATACTGGTCGGGCTTACACTGGCGCTCCGATGCCTTATAGGCACCTTCACAGCGTTGCCCGGCTATACCGACCAGCAGCCGACAGCCAGCCGGTCGCGGTGAATGACGAGTGACGACTGACTAGGCTATGCGAAGGAACGCGCACAACGCGCGCACATACGCGCCGCGTTGTGGCGGCCGAGCAAAGATGGGCCGGGGCGCGCGCGGTGCGCCCAGCGGCCACCGTCGCATCCGCGACACAACTCCTTTCGACACTAATAGCCATCAGTCGAGCTCGCTTCAGTAAGTCAGCAGCTGAATTAGGAATGCATCTCAATAGGAGTAACTAACAATGAAACACATACCCAAAACACAGTAAACACATAACTTGACGTTTTTCTATGACGAGGTTGGAAGGAAGTTTATCGCAAATTGGAACCGCGGACGATAGTGACTGCTGGCAGAATTATGCGGTTCGTCAAGAGCCATGAATAGTGACTACTCGCTGATGATGCGGAATGATCGGGTGGGTCTTCGGAGATAAGGACATCGGTGACAAAAAATGCAAAAAATGCAATTGAAGCAGCACCGCCCCCTTCGCGCGCGGCACACCACACCGAGGTCTCAAGTCGACATTACATTATCACCAAGTGTCAGTGGAGCGAGCTTTTTGGCTGAGTGCCATGGACCAAGCGCAAATCGTATGCCCAACCGNACCGCGGGCTGACCTGCCGCATGCGAAGGTTGCGGCGTGACCTAGTTTTGACGGACGCGCGCAACGAAGCGCACTCAAAGACGTCAGCAAGGTACAGTAGCTTGGACAACGGGTAACCTATGTGTTGTCATCGCTCAATCCTGAAAATAGGCGATTGCATTCCTTTCGCCTTTACATTCAACAAAATAGCAGCGTTTTTAATGCGGCTCATACTACTGAAGGGACTTTTGTATGAGAACCCTGAACCAAAAAATCAGCTCTTGCCATCTCGTGTGTCCGGATACTGAATCGCTCTCTCTGGGCAGTTCAGGACGGGTAGCCGAACTTACCCCGAATTTCCACAGCCAACGGCAATCGTTCCGCCGCAGCTGCCAGCCACATCCCGAGTGCGGCGAGTGCGACACGCGTTCGTGGAGAGATACCACATCTTGCGGAAGATTTACCCAATGATCAGCTTATGCCATTCCTGGAGTAGAAACGCTTCGATGTGTATGATAAGTGAGGTGGCCGGGGACAACGGCTACGTCACGTGTTTGCTCTTTGGACAGATACAACGAAGTTTTCATGAGCTCCTAATAGGTATGTAGTCAATAAGGGCTAATTATGCTGTAGATATCGTTATGCCATTTCAGCGATGCTCCTAACCACATTCATCAATATTTATGATTCTCACTTGGACATCTAGCAGTAATTTAGTTGAGTAAAGAATAAACGGATAAGGTCTTTCGGAGTTAATCAATCCCATCTAAGGGATGCGCTACAGCAGTTGAAATCCATTCAGAATCGTAGTGGCGTATTGAATGCATACCAGCTGGGCTACGCACATTATTCTGATGATCTATCCGCTAACGCGTGCTTTATATGTTGAGGACCGCTTATCTACGATGGAGTCATCCAGCGGAATGTTGGTTTATCACAATAAGACAGAATTATTATTTGATCATAGTTCCGTCCACCCCAGTGCAGACTCGTCCCACTATAAAAACTTGGACACCTCTTTTAACTGCTACTAAGCATTATCTCTAACCACTTTTCCCCGTTCTAGAACGTTTCTGAACAGAGTTATGGAGTTTTGATCCAAGCCCCGCCCACTTTGGTGCAAACCCTGCCCGCTTCAAGGATTTGACCACATTTGTTCCATTACCTCTAACCACTTTTTCCCGCGTTCTGGAACATTTCTAAACAGAGTTGTGAAAATTTGATTCAAGCCCCGCCCACTTCGGTGCAAACCCTGCCCGCTTTGAGGATTTGACCACGTTTGTTCCATTACCGCTAACCATTAACCCCGCATTCCAAAACCTCTCCGAACGAAGTTACACTCATTTTTAAAAAGCTTTCACCTCATCGCACGCTACGTCCATTGTGGGCGGGCCTCCGCTAACGTCGTTTATGCTGAGGACACCTTAGACAATGCTTCCCCTATATTGACTTTTTCCTGCTCTGTTGGCTTTCTCCAAACCAAGTTATAAATGTTTTCATAATGCATTGCATTTTTAGCGAACGCCCTACCCGTCTTGGGTGGGTTTACTTAGTTCGATCTAACTTAGCAATGCACAACTCTAGCCACCTTTACACCCCAGTTTTGAAGCAATCTTGTGAATGAATTTGAAATCATGGTTCTCAGTACAGCTCATTTAGATGCACGCCACGCCCTCTGTGGGCGAGGCTCCTCCAAGCTGATGCGTGCTTTATACTTCTCGGGATATGACCCACCCAATCACGCGTGACCCGATCTCTCAAGGCAGATCTAAAGGAGCTGAGGGATTTCGTGACAGACATACATAAAGACAACAGACGAAGAGCTTTATAGTAAGTAGGATGACAATGCTCGCAGTGGCCGGCCGATGTACGAGTCACTGCTTTTATGCCTCCAGACGAGTCCGGTACCAACTAAGTGACCCAGAAGGGATAGAAGGCTCGGTTGGTCTAGGTGGATATCGCTACGGTAATCGAATCCGTGACCGCAAAAATTCGTATGTGATGATGCACCCCTTGTCACTACACCACCTCCGCCCTGTTCAATTGAATAATCGAGCAAAAAGATTTTTGCTGTAAACTACTTTCACAAAGTTCTAGCAGGTCATAACGAATTCATAAAAAAAGAGAATGAGTTTGGAGAGCTGCTAGATTTCAATAGAGCGGGCGTAAATGTCAGAATCGAGTTGGAATTTCAGCGACCCTTTCAAGAAGACTTGTAAGTAGTGATGACTAATTTTAGCAAGGAGCATTCGATTATGAAGTGAGAGCACCGGTAGTTGATCTCACCGTTATTGTGACAGCATACTACAATAAATACTTAAACGCATCACACAAAGAGACAGGTAAAATTTTTGTCCACTGTAGTATTGCCTTTTGCTGTCTTTGCTTTTTAGACGTAATTGAAACCTCATTTTCAGCAACCGAAACACACATCATCATAAAAAATCTGAAGCATATTAGAAACGGAGAGCAAATCGATCTTACTTGGGATGTGGAAGGTGCACTGCCTTATGAAGAGTTGGAGTATGTCGTCAGGTAGTTAGATATTTGATAAATTTTCTAATCCAAAGAGCAAGAAAGCAAACAGCACTCCTGACCAAAGGAAGGCTTTGCTTAACAATGGACGGTTTCAGTTCCCCTGCGGAAAAACCTCCCGCTGCTGGAGTTGGGAAATCTTTGAAATATCGTCAGGTCTAGGAAACAGTGTGGAAACTCATATTTCTCAAACGCATTGGGACAAAGGTGAACGCTAGAAAGCAGTGGAAGGATATCAGGGCATAGCTCGAGGATTAGGCGTAATTAGCGTCCTGTAGCTTTTACAAATTTCGTTGTTCCGGTATGGAATTGACATAGGCAATATTAGGATTTCGGCTGACAACGTTGTGATGCTCAGGCGAGGAGGCTTTAAACTCTAATGGGATTTCTGCACTGTGCACTTCGAATCGTGATGAGCATTACTTTTACACTTCAGAATAACGGGGATGTTTGCTTTCAAATGAGAGTAGAGCAACGTAAACTGTTGAATTGATAAGCACTGAGAAGT